CTAGTGGTGTTGAACCTCATAATTATTTATATTTTAAGACCTATAATAATAATTACTATTTAGCTCTTCAAATAAATAAATCACAATACAATTTTATTACATTCATTAAATTTAGAAAATATGATACTAAAAACATGCTTTTTAAGAACCCCTCATAAAATTTCTGTAGTCTAAGTAAGTGTCCGTAGAATTGTGGAAGAGTTTATCACAGTGTTTGATCAGAAATGCTGTTTGAAAGACAGGAATCCTTCGATCGCTTCAGGATCAGGGAGAGACTCTGCATTCGATGGAGCCTTCGATACATAAACTGTAAGGGAGAAAAAAAGAATGTTATTAAACACTTTTAAAGATTGTTTCATAACAAAGAAATAAAAATATTCTCCAAAAAAATATTGCTGATAAACAGTTCTAAGCTAAATGCAATCTTATACTGATATAATTCAGGGATTTTTTATATATATATATAATATTAGGTATTTGCTTATATAGTTGGAATTGGATCTTTTGGAGAGAAAAGAAACGATCTTTTAAATGACGAAATACTTAAAAAATATTTTTTTTATCTAATAAATCAGTTTCTCATTTGAATTTTGAATTCAAAGAATTTTTATGACCTGATTCCATATCCAAGACACTAATATAATAATGAAAAAATAGTATAAAAGTGTCTGTTTCAAAAATTAAAAAAATTTGCGATTGATCACGCCAAACACACACAAAAGATTTACTTCTATTCTAAAAAAAATCAAGATGTTGTACTTAACTAACTTTTTACTCTAATTCTGCCGCGTAACAATTTGGTAAAAAGAAAGCAGCCTGTAAACTCGTTTTATAGCGACCCTATCAATGGAATGCCTTGTAAAATATATCGCCCAGCCAGTAGGGTGGTTATGACACTCGGCTTGCATTCGAGAGGGCTCGGATTCGAATCCCGAATACGGCATGGTTTAATCTTCGGGAAAAAGAGGTCGGACTTTCGCCTGAAATGGTTTCCCGTTTTGAATGGAAAGCTTCTTCTGTTCTACGTACTCGCATCATATTTTGTAAGAAAAGTCTCAATTGTTCTGTGATTGTATGGTTTGTGTGTTTCTCTTCACCTGTCTTTCGAATGAAACGCACAGCAACAATACGTTGGATCGAAATATTTTTTCAGAATTTCAAACCTATACCTATGCACAGAAAAGATGTTTCTCTGGTTCATAGATGAAAGGGAAAACAAAATAAAAAATTGGTTTTTATCTTAATTACTGCCACAAGCGGAATGAAATTTAGGTTTTCGGGCTTTTTAGGGTAAAAAGTCAAAGAATTTTTTATTAAAGAAAGAATAGACATTTTAGTACTTTTTAACGTTTATTGCGACGAGAAAAGAGACACCTATTAAATAGTTATAATAAGATAAAAACATCAAGTACATTTTTAAGAGCTTTTTTAGAATTAAATTTTTTTTTAAAAAAAACCTATTGTCGAAGTGACAATGTAAGATAAAGCGGAAACGGAAAAAAGCTTAGATCGGAATGATTCGACGGTGTAGGGTGGAAGAGCTGGTTGCAATTCACTTCGCACTGTGTGCTATTCCCAATACTCACTTATGAATTATCATCACTTTTGGTTATATTTATATTGTAGAAAATGAATTTTATTTTGAGTCTAAAATTATCTCCCCAAAATGAAGTCTTTCCATTTTTTCGAAACGTCAACCGCCTTGTAGCAATATGAAATTTTTAAAAATTGTTTTTTTTTTAAAAAAAATTATGTTTCAACTCATCTCCACACCATAAAACATCTTTTCCGCAGAGGTTGGTTTGGATAATTTAAAAAAAAATTTTCTCCATATTACCACGATCTACTCTATTGTATAAGTCTTCTGTTTATATTTGATTCTTTTATATAATTCTTCAATAAAGCATCATCAAAATACTATTTGTAAAAACGAAAATACATACTGTCTCTCTTTCCGACCTACAAACATAGCGACTAGGAATTGCAATATCGGACCAAAAATCCAATACCGATATTTATTATTTCTTAGATTTTAATACCGGTAGTAGAAATTTTAGAAAAAGAAAGAAAACACAGGTGTTTTTTTGTTGTTGTTGTTTTATTTGCCAGTTGCTTTATTAGAGAGTGTAAATATCACAAAAATAATTTGTAACTTATAAATTATAACAGTATATAAAGAAAAAGAAAGAAAAGAAACATCTTATTTACACTGTGCCACCCTATTCTTTTTATCATATGAATAATGAAACCAAACCGAAGTATTGTCGAGTGATTTTTTTATGTTCTTTGAAGTTATTCTTAGTCATTATTATGGGTTATTATTTATGAGTATATATATAATGAATCTGAAAAATATTTTGAACCTTAAAGTACGGTATGCAAATACAATGTGAATAACATAAACTCAACAGTTTAAAATGTATCGAAATATTACACACTTTCTTCACAAACACAACCTTGTTTTCAGATACGAATATCCGACTACGAATCCTGCGCGTGTGCAGTATCGCTCTGAGCTGTAATAGAATAGTTTTAGCCCAACTCCTTGGATGATTCTCATATTTTATCACTTCTCTTGATTGTACAGTGCAACTTTATATCCCCAGTCAAATTAATTTCTCCGGTTAGGAAGACACACAAACAAAAACCTAAACTATTTTGCTATGTTAGCGATCCTTGAACATATAATGGAGACAAATTTAAAAGATTTCTAGTAAATGCCGAAAAACTGGTATTATATTTGTAAATACCGGTAATACAAAATTGTACAAAAGGCTCAAAATGCCGGTATTCGGTATACCAGCATTGCAATCCCTATAATAGCGACTACCTATTTATTGCAGAGCTCAGATTAACCTTTATGGTTATTCATTATTTAAGTAAACCACAACCAGATCACCACAATAAGTCTGAAATTAAATCCCAAGCAAATAAGTTAAAGAACATTTTCTTACATATTATTTATTGAAATTTTTAAAATAATTGTGAATTATAACTAATTAACTATTAGTTTTTTTTCTGTAAGAGAATTTAAGATGAATAGAAGTAAATCTATGTATGATTAAATTTTCATTCAAATGAATACTATGCTCATTATAAAAAAAATTGTACCACAATTTAAGTATTTTATCAATGGTTTCTCTTATCTCTTATTTCCTCTTCAGAATCATTCCTGACGTATCAAGAACGTAAATAATATGACGTATATACCAATAAAGCCATTAAAAAATCATTTTTCCAAAAGTTCTGATTTCGATCAACAGTATTAACATATTTTTGAAGTTTACCTCGACAGCTTCATTGTGTTATAACCCTTTCAGCAAGGGTTCTTCAGACGCTTTTCATCTTGTTTATCCAATTCTTATTATGATGCTTCACTGCATTCACTGACGTCGGTGAAACATCGTCAGTTTAAATTATGGATGATGACATTACACTTACATTGTGGCAAAAATGTCACGTGACCGTCATGAATGGATATAAACAGGAAGGATATAATTTATTTAGGCTAAGGAGCTAAGACATTGCTGAAGTTTCTATTTTTTATTATGTTAAACAAATTTAGTTTGTTGAAATACCAGATTATGTTAAAGGTATAATATTATCCAAAACAATGGGTTTTCCTTCACCGACATTTACCCCCGTAAAAAAATGGCGAAGATATACAAACAAATCTATTTTAAAAAAAAAATAAAAGAAATGGGACTCGAAAACTTACCAATCATCCACATAAGAACGAGTCATGAAATCTTTCATATCTTCGAATTGCTTTTCGCTTAATATACAGCCACCGGGTAAATAAACTGCAGGAAAAAAATATGAATCAAAACATATCAGCACTTTTAATATTAAGAAAAATAATATGCAACATAATTTTAAAAACCATACAAGTAATACAATAGAAGAAATAATAGGACAAGTTCACCACAAAATATTCAAACTCTTGTATCACTTTACACATCACTTTTGTATTAATATTTGACAAGAGGACGCAAAGTGAACATTGCACTTTTCATAGACTGAAAAATGTTCTAACATTATTGTGAATTCTCGTTGTTCTAAAACATATAAGCCTAAGATATATGGCCATTTACAATACTGAATCCTTAAGACAACAGAAAAATTCAAAAGCACTGAATAAATACACAATTATAATCTTATATAGTCACAAGTTTAACTGAAGGAAAATATTAATTATTTTTAGAAATAATGTAACTGCTTAAGGGGAAAGTTTAAATCGCGCTCAGTAATACTATTAAGCAATTAAAATATTCTTGTTCTAAGAATCGAGAATAAATCTTTTAAAATATATATTTTAATCACTTAAAGCGGAATGAAATGATACTTGTGTATCGTTATAATGTATTCGTAACTATGATTTAGATAAAACTACGTAATATTAGAATTTGAAGTAAATTTTATATTAAGAGTCATTATACACACACACACATATATACGCATATATCAAAAGATACTTTAATACTAGCGTATGATTTCAATTACTATCTAGAACCAATTTGTGACAGACAATGTGGATGAAGATAACGAAATTTAAGTAGTTAGCTTGTTCTCTTTATTTCTTTACCACGTCACGCAGGGGTTTTCAGGCTCATTTTCATTTCACGAGAAACATAAACAATTTTTCCATGCAACGGGTTTGGATCAGAGACAAAATGTGTAGCTGCAATACGAAATTCGTGACCAATAGTCATCCTAATCAGTGGGTTCAGGGCAACGAGGTTCATCCAGCGGACAGTGGCGTAACGTACACCCCGAATCGAGGGAGGGGGCAGAATTCTATGAGGCCCAAAACCTGACTGACGCATACTATGTACTCTTTGTGAGATCCGGCTTGGAGCCCAAAACCTGACTTTGCAAGGGGGCCCTAATATTTTCCGTTACGCTACTGCCAGCGGACGAACTCTGGACCAAATATTGAAGTAGTCAGTTAAATCGACCCTGTTGATTAAAAAAATTCTGATAATTTAAAGATTTGTGTGTTCATGGCAGGGGCGTAGCTACCGCCGTATCAGCCGTATCAATGATACGGGGCCCCAAAATGTGCAAGAATAAATCGTAAAATGTTGAGAGACCTCCGAAAAGGGCCAGCAAGCAGAGGCGTAGCTACCACCGTATCAATGATATGGGGCCCCGAAGCAACAGGGGCCCCAACATGTGTAAGTACCAAATTGTTAAGTCCCACTTACAAAGCTCCCTTTTCCCCTTTCCCCGAAGGAATTTTGATACAGGACTAGCTACGCCAGTGGTTTATGGAATAAGTGTGAGATCCTTCTGGATTAAAAGACCTTTCGAACAAATGGACTTCATAATTAAACTCATGAGACAAGTTTCGAATAAATTACATTTGAATCTGATCAAAAGGGTGCTTTTTTCAATCAAAACAATAAAATTAAACAATACCCCGCAAAAGTAGGAAGTAAAAGGAACGGAGTAAAATTATATTCTCTAACATTTGTTGATATTTACACTTTGCAATAAAATTATGCGTTAAATCACAAAAAGCAACTGATTTTTCCTCTATTTTTCAATACACAAATTCTGTCACATCTTTGTAAAAATTCATTTGAATTTTCACTTTTTTAAGTTACGAACAGATAATAAATTAGGAATATTTCTTCAAATAAAAAATACTGCAATATGTATATCACATTCCGATTTCATTAACTTATAAAGAGTTGTATACATTTCAATGCACTAATAATTTATCTTTGAATAAAATAATTTTTTTCTGAATATGTATGTTCCACATATCATCTTTTATACCCCCTTAGTGTCAGTTGGATTTAAATTTATGTATTAAGATTAAAAATTCCGAACAATTTTCTCCTATTTTATATATATATATATATATATTTTAAGAAAGAAACATATATATGTTGTAATAGGGAATACATCTGATATTACGGCACTTGAAATTTGTAA